CTCCCCTTTTAACCTCCCATTCCCCCTTAGTAGGATTCTAGTCCTAAACAAATTAACTGGGTAAAAAGAAATACATCTCTGTTTATGTTGACATGGAACGAAACTATAAGGCCAATCCATTTTCTTCCCATCCTTGGTAAAACGTCTTGTTTTGAGAAGGGGGATAGTTTGGTCACGGGAAGAAATTCTAACCCATGATGCTGTGAAAAAAGGAAAGATAAGAATTCTTTCCCTAATTCAGTCTTTTACCACCTACAGGGTGTCCAGTTCTTAAAAAGTACTTCACAAAAGAACATTGTGTTTTCAAAGCAAACTGGGATTTATAAAAAAAATATACCTTGATGTTTGGAATGTAATATGGAAAGGCAACAGGATGTTTCCTAACCTTACATCCAACTAAAAGGTTTACCTTTCTAAATGCCCAATTTATGGCAAATTTAGAGCTACGTTCTATTAAAGTAAGGTGTGAAACTCTTTTAATGAGTAAGAAGAACTGTCCTGTTGTCATATATTTCTGACAGCGTACATCTAAGTTTCAAGGGCTGTAATGTTGGGACATGAGTTGTAAAAAAAAGAAAAAAAAGTCTCTTACATCTTTAAACTAACAAACTTTTTAAAGAGACCTTACTATTATGGAAAATAATAAAGACTGTGTATATTTCATGGATATATTTTGTCTTAAACTGTTTTGTGGTTGTTGGAGAATAGATTTTTTTATTGGACATTCGAATTGGAATTTTGTCATTCTCTTTTTCTTTTCTCTTCAAAAACATTGATTCTTCTTATGTTAAAGTTCTAATATATATTTATGTATCCATACATAAATATAGATATATATTTGAACACACACACCACATATGAGCTTAAAATAACTGTTTTACTGATGCTTCTCAAAATGAGTGTTCTAAGAAGGGAATATGTTCATGTAAGTTTACATAAAACCTAAAGATCTTTTTTTGGTTCAGTGTTTAGAAAATTCTTGATAATTTAGAATATTCCACAATGGAAAGTAAAGCATTCTGTCACAAAAGCAGGGAGGATGAGACGCAAGGTCAAAGGGCATTTTAGAAACAAACAGCTGGTCCAGTTTATTTAAACAGATACAGGGATGGGGGAACTGACCTCTGTTTGACTTATAGTGGGAGGAGCAAGAATGTCATTTTATTACTTTGCCCAGAAGGAAAATGTTTTTGTATCTGAATTCACCCTGAAGCCGTCTAAACACATGGCTTTGCTGTATGTAGCATAATTCCAAAGAGAGTATATAGAAGACAGTCTAGGATCAAATACACTAAATAGAACCAAATGTTGAGATGGTTTTAAAATTGAAAAGATGATGCTGTTTCAGAATATAAAGTCTTTTGCTATTTACTTAGTTATTTTCAGATAAAGATGTCTGCCATGACCGTAGATAATATCAGCGTTTCATGTAAGTATAGAAAGCATAATCCAATAAGATTCTGAGAGTTTCCTATGTCCTCTATGTATCAATAATGTTCATTATATTCAACAATTGTTTTAAATTCGTTTTCAAAAGCAAGAAGTTATCACCATACTGCTAATGTGGTCAAAACACTTTGGACAAAGTGATTAGGGGTTCTGAGATTTTCAGCTTTTTAAATTTTTATTTTATTAAATGCATGGATTCTCACCTTTATATCTACATATCCTATAGGTAGCCTACATCTATGTTGTCAATAACAACAAATGGCTCTTGCCACCAAAAGGGAAGAAAATAGCACCTGGTACCTGTGGCCCCTTAGTTAAAAGGCTGTGATGAGGTATTCACTCTCTACATGGGGACCAGAGCAGATGTGGAGTAACTGCATTTAATGATGTCCCCTGAAGACCTTTAGAGGCACACAGACAAACCTCAGCATACTGAGCAGAGAGTATGGCTCAGGTGGTGAGTGGACTCAAAACCCAAGAAGAACTTTCATTCTACAAGAAACTTGTTAAGAGGGTGCCTGGGTGGCTCAGTTGGTTGGGCGGCTGCCTTTGGCTCAGGTCATGATCCTGGAGTCTTGGGATCGAGTACCGCATCGGGCTCCCTGCTCGGCTGGGAGTCTGCTTCTCCCTCTGGCCTTCTTCCCTCCCATGCTCTCTCTCTACCACTCTCTCTCTCTCAATAAATAAATAAAAATCTCTAAAGAAAAAAAAAAAGAAACTTGTTAAAAATCATGGATGTTTGGGGCACCTGGGTGGCTCAGGCGCCTAAGCATCCGACCTGTGACTTTGGTTCAGGTCATGATCTCAGGGTGGTGAGATCGAGCCCGCGTTGGGCTCTGCACTGGGCGTGGAACCTGCTTAAGATTCTCTCTCTGCCTCTCCCTTTGCCCCTCCCCTCTGTGCTCATGCTCTCTCCCTCTGTCTCAAAAACAAAATCAAAACAAAAAGGAATCATGGATGTTTAACATAAGGAGAAGCCTATGGGACATGATGCATGATGGCTATACTTTAAATATTTGAAGGCTATCCTGAAGAAGTGAGATTAGAATTGTTTAAATTCCCCCAAGTAGTTGTCCTGGTGAAAGAATTTTAGATCAAGTAATGCAAAACCTTCTCATAGTTACCATGTCCGTAGCTGGAGTGCACTTTCAGGTGAGGTGGCAAGTGCTTTATTAGAAACAATCCAGCAGAGGCTACCTATCCTACTTGGTGGGGATGTCGTAGAGATGATTCATGTCAGTGACCAACCTAGGTGACAGTGAAAGCCCTTTTCAAACCTGAGATTTAATTTTTCTATGATTCCTTGGGTTTAATAGTCATGGATTCAAACCTAAGTTGGTTATTATGAACTGGTCTTTGGAAATCTGAATGTATGAGTGGGAAGGAAGCAAGCTTTGGAATACAGATAAGTCACTGAATCTTCTGATGCGTAGCCTTATCTTTGTCCATATGCACAAACAGTACAGTCATCAAAATTCCCAGTCTACAGAATGTTCAGTCATGCTTATTCCCAGACTCAGCAGTAGGGTTGTTGACAGTGGTGACTGGCTCAAAACCAGCTCATTCTTAGTTATCTATTTAGTTCAGAATATTCTAGATGGGTGACACAGTAGTGGCCACGCTCTTGTCAGGATGTTGGGGGAAGGGGTGTTCACTACCATTTGCCAGCTGTGTGTCATTCAGCAAGTTATTAACATCTCATGGGTAACATGTGACCTCAAATAAGTCACTTAATTTCTCTGAGCCTCGGCTTCTCATCTGTTTAAAAGTGCTCTTCCTATTTTTAGATGAATAGTTTAAATCATATCCACAAAATACTATGTTTTTAGGACTTTTAAAAAATGTTATCAGAGTTCCTTTCCTTTATAAGCCTGCAGATTATGAACAGAACCGTAGAAAAAGAGCTGTTTTTTTGCTCTTTTACCTATGTTAGTTACTATGAAAATTACTTTTGGTATATGCGGAATATTAATATTAAATAATTTTCTAATTGGTCATGCAGTGAAGGCAGCTAATGAAAAAGCAGATTTTTTTTTCATTTTAATTGGTTATTTCACATGGTGTTTGTGCTACACCTGTGCTTTTAATGAGAATGGAGAATTAATCTAACCTTCTGCTCACATGATTCCAATTTTCATGGTTTATACAAGATAATGATAACCTGATTTGCAACACAATTTGTTGTAGATCTGTGTTTTAAATATTTTTATTAGCCAGTTCGGGGACTTCATATACAAGAACTGATATAATATATATTGCCAATAAGAGTTAGCACTAACCGTGCCCTTTTAGTTAGATTCCAGTTTCATTATTGACTTTAATTACTTTTCCGATAATAAAAGAACAAAAGGATATAGGATATTGGGAATCTTAAAATGTCACGAAGCATGTATTTTTATTTTAAAAATCTGTCCCTCTCTGTGTTTAGTGGTTTTTTTAGGAACTACTTTCCTTCCTGAGTGGGCCGACTTACAAACTAGAATTCATACCGGACTGTGGACCCTTTAATCGTTATTAAACTTCTCATTGTATTTTTTATGTGCTGCTCATGTTCCATCTATTCAAATCTGAGTTGAAAACTAAAAGCACTTTACTTTTTCAGAATCTAATGTGTCCAACTCATTTTCTGTATTTGATATATAATTCTTAGCATTACACAATACAAATGGATCTTAAGAGTTAGAAATTTCACAAGCTTGATTTTGTAGGTCTTGTACTAACCACTTAAAAAAGAATTCAGTGGCTAGCCACTTTTTGAGAGGCTGCAAAAATTGTAAAAAATAAGCCTTATTAAGACACTTAAATGACTTAATTAGATGTTTATTATAAATTTCCAGGGCTAGCTGGAGAAAGCAATATTATAAGTTCAATTACTGTATAGCTGTGACCTCGCCTTGACCTTAGACTTTGCATAAAGAGCCAAAAAAAAAAAAAGCCACCCCAAGAAATCTCTACAAGGAATGCGTTTCTCTGAAGTCCCCAGCAGTGTGAGTTAGTGGTGATAAACTCCAGACATTCTCTCATTTGATGGTGTGCTGCCATCCCAGTTCATTATCTTAATAGTGGGCATTAAAATAGAATTAGGTTTGCAAGAGGTAGGGAAGGTTTTGATAAAAACTGTAAAAAAGAAGTCAGAGAACATAAGATTGAAATGTCACTAATTAGGAGAGGTAACAGATGCCCTTATGAACATCTTGCTCTCTACGCCAAATTTCCCCCCTTGCAATTGAAAAGAGTGGTGGCTCGTATTGTTTCCTGAAAACTCTGCTAATTCCCCCATGAAAAGATGAAATGGAAGTGTCCAACTGTGGTAAAATAGGCAAACATGAATCAACTCAGAAACCCCAAGCCTGTGTACTCAAAGGTCACTGGGAGTTGCAGGTTGTGGGGCACGTGAAGCCCCGTGCAGATCGGTGCAGAGAACCATTTTGCCAAGACCTAGCTTTGCTCTCACTGTGCTTCCTCTTCTCCTCTTCCTCCACCTCCTCCTGCCCGCCCCCCGTTTTTGTTTAAGGAATAATGAATGAT